TCGCATCAGCGATGGATGGAGCTGGTAGCGACTAAGCCGAGGCACGCATGATGAAGAGGAAGGCAAGGCACACCTACTGGCGTGGGCAATTGGGTTTGGGTGGAGGGATGGGAGGTCTGCCCTCGATCATGACGGCATGGCCTTAACGACGCGCACGGTAGGAAGACGCCAAGTTGGTGATGCAGGGTGAGGCGATGAGGAGACCTGAGGGTGGAGGTGCGGACGAGCCGAATTGAATAGAGGTGACCTATCTCTGGCGCACTCGTGGGCGCAAGGCGATGGCGGCGGCTAGAGAGATGGGAGACAGAGCGAGGACGGTGGAATACGGTCAGGGCTCTACTATAACATGCCTTGGCGAGACGCGGTTGACGTAACCGCAGTGACCTAGTCTAGCCACTAGCAAATGAGCACACGCGTGTTCACACCGGCTTGGCCCGCGCACCACAGCGCCATCAATGACGTGTCGATGGCGAGTGCAACCACGTGCATGGAATCAAACGGCAGCGGTAGTAGGTGTGTCATGATGCACGGTGGACTTGGCAGCACGGCAGCGCAGGACGGGAGGTGGTGCGACACGGCCACGCGACAGTGGCGGCGGCCTCACATGGCAGCGCCCATGACTATTCCCACGGCACACGGCTAGCCCAGCACGGCAACACACGGGCACGCGTGAGGCGCACCGACGTCGACCACTGACGCGCGGTGACCGTGTCCACGCGGGGGAAGCAAACTGAAAATGTGTTGTGCACGGATTTTAAAGCTTCTACCACGATCAAACCGTTACTCCTAAACATAAACTGTCTTCACTACACTCAAGATGGTATATGAGGCTACTTAATCAAGCTCTAACACTACATCGCTCTTTAATCCAATTCCTCAAAATAGTTTGCTAAACATAGTAAGGTCTAATTGTCAACAGACTTGGAAATTTTTCTATGTTTTGAGTTGAACTCTATTTCAAATTGTATTTCTATGCTATTGGAAATATTAGCTAGCAAGGTTAATTTTCAACAGCAAGTATTTCATCATCTTCTACAAAGTTCACACTCCAAACTTTATTTAAGCCCCATTTATAAGTTCTATAGTAATTTTACTAAATAAAAATTGCTTTACAACCATACTTGATAATTGTACGAATCGTGGAGTAACTTTTCGTTTTGCATTTTATTGATCGTTTTAGTTGAAATACTTCACCTATTTGTTTCATCACATGCATTACCCCATAAGTATGATGCTCATGATGTGTTTTAGTAAATGATTTAGGGTGTAATACCGAGGGTGTTACAGTTGCTTCACTCTCGCTATCAACTAATCCCAATCAATGGAGGAAAGCCAAGGTCCCTTGTCCCTATCGTCGGCCTCGACCATCGCTACCCTCACCGGTGATCACACTGTCCACCCCCATCCTCCCATAACCTAATCCCAATCTGAGGAGGAAAGCTTGTGCTCCTCGTCCATGCCACCGTCTTCACCCAACTAGATGTCCTCGCTTGCTCAGCGGTGTCGCTACCGCTTTGGTCACACCCCTCCATCCGCCATCCCCCGGTGAAGGGACTGTGACGCCTAAGGGAGGTTGAATTAGGTCACTTAAAATCTAAGGACAAAAGCCACTTATTTTAATTATATAAAAGCATGTATAGATATTTCATAGAAACACCTAAATTAAATGAAGTCAAATGTATTCGAATTAGAAAACCAAGATAAAACAAAACCATTTTTTTTATAAATCTAGTTGCATAATCATTAATCAAGTTAGGACTTAATTAATAAAATTGAGAACCATTTAACATATTAAACATACACGTAGATTACGTCATTATGAATCTAACATAACTGAAAGGGATAAAACCGAGCTAAAACGGAGATTCTACTTATAAGTCTAATGGTAGTTTTGTAATTACTAAAACTTATTTTTGAATTAAAACAAACTCAAATCCAATTTTTAAAACAAGCCAGGGACGGAGGGTTATGTGTTTCAAAAAGACAGGGGGCGTTTTGAAAGAAAACAAATTAAACAGAATTATTTTTGAACAGAAAAGGGATGCCAGGTTGATTCGAAGAAAGCAGGAGGCCTCTTTTGAAAAACGGCCACGGTCGACCAGGTCCACGCTGATGTGGAGAATTTGTTGTCCTATGTGAACCGGCTGACGCGGGGACAATGGACTGAGCCCATGGGTCCACGGTGGACCGAAGGGTACGGGGATGGCCGATCTAATCATGGTTCGGGGAGTTTGGTCGTCGGTAAAAGGTTCCCGGCGGCGGACACCATGGCCGGAGAGCTCGGTTCTTCATTGGAACGACGTTTTCGGTGTTGGCTAGCTACGGAGCTTGCACGGGATGGAAGAGTAGAGTGGAGCACGGCTGATCCATCTAAGGCATTAGCAACGATGTCCAGAGAGCAGTGATAGCGCAGGGCTCCTCGGAGCGGTTTGGGTTCGCCGGTGTACCAGCGGCGACTTCGTGCGAACGAAACAGGGCGAGAGAGAGAGAGACGGGTACCATCCGCTTCCTTACCGTCATGCGAAGCCCGGCAGATCGGTCTTGACGACGGCGATGCAGCGGACAAGCAGATCAAAGCGGCGGCGCGTCTAGGGTTTGGGAGCTCGGCGAAGCAGCTAGGGCTTAAGGCGGTGGCTCGAAGGCGGCTAGATGAGGGCGGCGCGGTGCAGTGGTACGAATTTTATATCCCGGGGCGGCGCCCGGTATGGAATGGAGGAGATTGAGCTCTGATCGATCTCGGCCGAAAAAGGAAGGGCACCGCGTCCAAAAAAGGAAAGGAAGGAGACGGTGGTGTCGCTGACGTGTGGGGCCCATCGGTCAGCAGAAGAGGAAACACGGGACCACATGACAGCGACTAGGAGAGGGAGGGAGGGTGCTCGCGCGGGCTTGGCTTCCTGCTGGGCTGCGGCCTTGCTAGGCCTCACGGTCAGGAGAGCGGAAGTGGGAGAGAGCGGGCCGGAGGGGGTTGTCGCCTGGGCCTCGTCCTCGCTGGGCTGAAGAGGGGAAGGGAGAAGGTGGGTTGCGGCCTTGCACGAAAAAGGGCAGGTGGACCAAGAACTGAGGGAGAGAGCGTTGAGAGGGCTTGGGCCTTCGGGCCAAAACTGAGAGAGGGAGGGTTTATTTTTTTTTCTTTTTCTTTTCCTTTTATTTCAAAGCCTTTTTCAAACTCACTTTCAAAAGCTTTTTGAATCATTTTGAGTTTTGGTCAGAAACACTCATCACAATAAATTATATTTGCCAGATGAATGCAAGAACAATGTTGCTACACCCTATGATAAATTTTAATTTAAAGAAAACTATGGTTTTCCTATGTTTCATGGGCACAAAGATTCACCATCAAATCAATTTAATTCTATTTCAAAAAGAAGCAAATTTTAGTGTGTTACAAATTATTCTGCGAAATTATAAATTTTTAAACAAAACAAAATCCCACTCCACCTCATATACTTATAATGTTAAATTAGTTGGGTGCCAAATGTGGTAGTTGTAATCCTCCCATTGACTAAATGCTCACATAAATGACCGTTTAGCTCATTTAATCATGTATAACTCGATTTTGTTTAACAGTCTAATCGTTTAAAGCCTAAATGACACGTTTACCGTTTAAATGTTGTGTAAAAGGACTAAACAATTGGGGGAGAATAGTGGTTTTTATCTAGATATGCACTAGTTTTTTTTCTTAGTATTGCTATCTCTAATACCAAAGAGTTTTATACCCCTGTGTTTCAATCCTATCTACTACGTAGCAAGTTAGACTCAAAACCAAAGGGCGAAAAGAACGTAAATGTGGAATACAAAGGGTCAAGGAATGCAAATTCCCACACAACGATGCTTTTAATAGGGTATCAGAAAATCTCACACTTTGCTCTAGTCCTTGCTAGAGACCCTCCACAGGGATGTCTTGCAAGGTCCAAGCTCCTAGTCAAGTAACTCAACAGATACTCACGGACCTTCCTAACATGCAAGTGGGCCTCCACCACCTCTCTCCCAAATGCTCTCCAATGTCTCCATTTTGTAGAGTTTGGGCCAAAACATCGAGGGCCTCTCCTTCCTTGAACACCACCAATGATCATGCTCCACAAACACAGTCAGAGTGATCTCGTACAACCTTGGTGCATGCAACGACACAAGCAGTGGTATCCAAGAGGTATGCACTTTGATATAATCTGATTCTAAATTATTACTTTGTATTTTGTATTCGGGGTGATCTTGCAAGACTTAAAGACTCCATAATGTACAAAACCTTGGTGCGGGAGCAACGATTGTCAAGAGGAATGCACTTTTGATAGAATCTGAATCTAAATTATTCACTTTGTATTTTGTATCAGAAGATATTTGTATTTGTGTTCTTGTGTAGTTGTGCCACAAAAAGTATGGTAAACTTTGATATTCTTGTCCAATTTCCATGCTGACCTTATCTATTTTTCCAATTCCATGCTGACTTTATCTATTTTCCAATTCCATGCTTACCCTACCTATTTCCACGTAAGCAGTGTGGTCTATTGGTCGCGAGCTGCTAGGAAAAGGGTACTGATCTGAAACGATTTGTGGTGGGATTTATATTCTATAAAATAAAACACAAAATTGCAAAATGTTTGTGCGTGAAAATGTCTCTAGCTCTGACAACGGAGAGGAATGCAATAAAATTCTAGTCCAACGGATAGTGCAGATTTACGCAAGTTTCGAAGAAGAAGAAGAACAAATAATCGCCAAATTCATGAGCTGTCTACTCTCAACGATTGATCTCGCTCCATTCCAAACGCACGCAAACGCTGTCAGCCTGTCACGTGTGTTACGTGAGAGTGAAGAGCAGGCAACGCCGCCACGGTACGTCTCCTCTCGCCGCCTGCCTCTTGCGTCCTCCGCCTCTTTTCCTGCTCGCTGGCAGCCGCGGTGTCCGATCGATCGAGACTCGAGAGGGAGAGTGAGCCCGGGGGGAGAGACCCAACCAGCTGCAGGGATTGGTCGGGTTCCGCTCCGCCTTGGGAGAGGCCCAAGAGATGGGCGGCGCGGCGGCGGGTACCAAGTGGATCCACCACATCCAGCGCCTCAGCGCGGTGAAGGTGTCGGCGGAGGCGGTGGAACGGGGCCAGAGCCGCGTCATCGACGCCTCCCTCACCCTCATCCGCGAGCGCGCAAAGCTCAAGGTCAGTCCATCCCTCAAGATCCCTTTTTTGTTTCTTGGCTTTTCCCCTTATCCCTGTAATATATACACTGTGCCCGCTCTTGTTCTTCTGAATATTCCAATCCATCCGAACATGCGATCCGAGTCGATTAGGATTCTGTTCGGCCCCGCATTTCGATCCCTTCAGCTACGAATAATCAATCAGATATTGTCGATCGGAATCCAGACGAGCCTCCTTTTTTTTTCCTTTCCCTTTTTCTTTCACATGTGGGGTGATGCTGCAGGTTTACATTATAATACTAACTAGTAATACGGTTAGAGTAAACAAATCCCTGTGCTTCAGAACGTAGTCGGCAACATTTGCTGCTCGGGCTACTTCCTCCTTCCTATGCATTTCACATATTAGTTTTCTGTTCAGAACAGGTACTGACCAGAAGGCAACCAAAATTCAGAACTGAATCGCCTCTACTCTAATTCTCTATGTTACTCCTCTTTACATGCAAGAAACAGTGCAGGAGGCAGCATAAGTAGAGTTGAAACTTCCCAATTGTTTACTTGCTGAGTATGTATTTAGCATGGGCCGTCCCATGTGATCGCTAGAGTGCAGTTTGGTCCGACCTGTCATTAGCAAATTGCTTAGTGTAGACACATTTGCTTACACTAGTGAACCTTGAAAAAGTAATTCAGAGGGTATTTCCGGATACATGATAGACTTGAATGCTGTGTTCCCACATGTTTTTCCAACCATTGGGGAAACAATATATTCAGTAGCTTGCTTTCAGTTACACAATTTGAGTCTTTTAAAACCTATAATATGATTCCTTATACTGACAACTTGAGTAAGATATGAAGCTGCCATGCACACACACCCTATTTTATACTTGCTTCAGAAAAAAATCTAGTATTCAGATAGTTTAAAATGTCTTTCATCTAGAAAGCAGGCCTCATATATAAGACAGAAGAGTGCAGAAAAATTCTTGCTCCGAAAATAATATTTGTTTTCTCTTTTGATGCTTCACTCTGTTCCATGTTGTGATGAAGTTCCAGTTCTTGTTGTTTGTTACATCTATATTACCTCTAAAAACAGTTTTTTTTTTCACCATTAGGAAAAGCAACCTGTAGCCTTTTCTGACACTCTTTTTCAGTTTATCTGATAATCGAGTCTTTCAAGATCTATAATATGGTTCTTAAATAATGACATTAGTAAGATATGGTCAAAACTGACATGCGCAACCTCGAGTAATTATTTGCTTCAGAAGATGGAACCTAAGACAGATAGTTTTAAAGTGTTCCATTTGGAATGGCAAGCCTCACATGTAATATTGCCATATCTGGACGAAGGGTGCATAAAAAGTTGAAAATATCTTGTTCTTATTTTCTAAGTGCTTCACTCTGTTCCAGTTTGTGATTAAAACACTGTACACATTAATGTGTACATGGAACAAGGAAAAGTTCTATACAACCTCTGTGGATAGAACTTAGATTTTCTTCAGAAATAGCTGCTTTTGCTTTTGTTGTAATGTATACTTGTTCTTTGTGCAGGCAGAGTTCCTACGTGCTCTGGGTGGCGTGAAAGCTTCAGCGGCGCTCTTAGGGGTCCCTCTTGGTCACAACTCGTCCTTTTTGCAAGGCCCTGCATTTGCTCCTCCACGCATAAGGGAGGCCATTTGGTGTGGAAGCACAAATTCTAGCACAGAGGAAGGTACATTTAATACTATTGAGCGCACACTAAATGTAAGAAACAATACAACTTATATGATCTTCCTGTTAAACAGGCAAAGAATTGAATGATCCTCGGGTGCTAACTGATGTTGGTGATGTCCCCATTCAAGAGATCCGTGACTGTGGCGTTGAAGATGACAGATTGATGCATGTAATTAGTGAGTCTGTTAAAACACTGATGGAGGAGGTAAGCATATTATACCATGATGAGTGCCTCATAATATTTTTTTGTTAATTATGCAAGATATTTACTTATGTTGGTATCACTAATGGTACACTTTTGGTTTCAATTCAGAGAGTTGAAAATGGTTTTGTTACATGTATGTAATAGCTCTGGTTTTCTGTTCTGTTTCACGTATTTAATCAGAGTGATGCACTGTTGTGTAGGAGCCTCTTCGACCGTTGGTGTTAGGAGGCGATCACTCGATATCTTATCCAGTGGTTAGGGCTGTGTCTGAAAAGCTTGGAGGACCTGTTGATATTCTTCATCTTGATGCACATCCAGATATCTATGATTGTTTTGAAGGGAACACTTATTCACATGCCTCTTCATTTGCTAGAATAATGGAAGGTGGTTATGCCAGGAGACTGCTACAGGTAATTGTGTTATTTTATCTAAGGGTTTCAAGTAAAATATCGATACTATTAATTAATGAAATGAGCATAATGTTGCTAGGTTAATACACTGAAAAAAAATCTGTCATGTGCCTTTAGCTTCCAATATCCATCAATTTTGTACTAGGACAAGGGCTAGCATGGTTTAAATAATGCCTTACTGGATATCGCAGTTTTTATCATGCTATTAGCTGCAATTTGTTTTCTTTCCTTGATTGAGTCGGCTCCAGGTTGATGCCCTTGACTTTGCTTTTGTGGCTGTCCTGTCACTAGTGTAAATACCAGTTTCTGCCACCCTTATCCTGATTCCAACATACTTCAGGTTGGATTGAGATCAATTACCAAAGAAGGGCGTGAGCAAGGGAAGAGATTTGGTGTGGAACAGTATGAGATGCGAACCTTCTCAAAGGACCGAGAGAAGCTTGAGAATCTGGTAACATGCTTTAGTTTAATCATTTGAATGTATTTTTCTTGCTTTTGTATCAACTCAAAATAGTGAAAACATAGATGATACATCCTATAAGATATGCGTTCACATGTTTATGCCTATTGTGTCCTTTTTCAAGTAACCTTCAGTTTAAATTGTCAACTTCAGTGGATATTCTCAGTTAACAAGCCATCGCCAATCTTAATTTAAAAGGAACTGTAATAACATTGGTGGTTATTGAATTTTTCAAATGTGCAGATTGTTAATAACTAAAACCCATGCTCAACTTACTCTTTCCCTGCAGAAACTTGGGGAAGGTGTAAAGGGAGTGTATGTCTCAGTTGATGTGGACTGCCTTGACCCAGCGTTTGCTCCTGGGGTCTCTCACATTGAACCAGGAGGCCTCTCGTTCCGCGATGTGCTCAACATCCTCCAGAATTTGCAGGGTGATGTTGTCGCCGCTGATGTGGTGGAGTTCAACCCACAGCGCGACACGGTGGATGGGATGACAGCCATGGTCGCCGCTAAACTGGTCCGGGAGCTCACTGCTAAGATCTCCAAGTGAGACGGTTAGGATCACACCATTCTTCTTGAAGCAAAGCGAAAGGGTGGATTTTGATGTCTCGTGGGTTGGTTTATTGGTCTTGGTTCCTGTGTATCGAGCACCAAACGCTTCGACATGTGACAAAGCTTATGTTAATTAGGTTGCAATAACACCATAAAGTTTTCTGCTACTCCTATTTGCTAGATGCTTACCATTTATTTAGGGTGGACTCTGGAACCAAAATCTGTCAGATTCTAGAGCAAATGCTCCGATTGTCAGGAATTTCTCGAACTTGGATCTGATTAGTGAGCTGGAATGACTAAATTATGGTTGATGCTTCCATACTATTGCTATTCTTTTGTTAAGATTTATTTAGTCAACAAATGTATTCGCAAAACGCGCACACTGTAGCTCTATTGCTAGCAGCTAGCAGCTAGCAGCGAGACAGTCAGCTATGGCAGGAGCCGGCGGCGTGCAACGGGTCGACCCGGTCCCGGCCGTGCTCTTCATCCGCCGCCCGGGCGCGCCCTTCGGCAACGCGATGCACCAGCGCTTCCGCGTGCTGGAGCTGGCCTCGGCCGAGCCAGACCCGCCTCGCGCCGCGGTCGTCATGGGCGGCGGCGCCTCCTCGACGCCGTCCCCTCCGTCCGCTGCCTCGTCAGCACGGCCGCGGGCGTTGACCACATCGACCTCGCCGAGTGCGCGCGCCGCGGCGTCGCCGTCGCCAACTCGGGGACGGTCTACTCCGCCGACGTCGCGGACCACGCCGTCGGCATGCTCGTCGACGTGCTGCGGCGCGTCTCGGCGGCGGAGCGGTTCGTTCGGCGCCGGCTCTGGCTGCTGCAGGACGGCGGCTACCCTCTCGCCTCCAAGGTCCCTTCCAATCTACTGTTTTTCATTCCAGTATCTGAATTAATCAGCTGAATCAGATGTGTTTTGATTTGATGCTTTCAGCTAGGGGGCAAGCGTGTCGGCATCATCGGACTGGGGAACATTGGTTTGCTGATTGCAAAGAGGCTTGAGGCTTTTGGCTGTGTCGTCTACTACAACTCCAGAAGGCCCAAGGATTCGGTCTCTTACAAGTATTTCTCAAATGTTCACCATCTTGCTTCTGAATCAGACATCCTCGTCGTCGCCTGCGCGCTGAACAAGGAGACGAGGCACATCGTGAACAAGGACGTTCTGGAGGCCCTAGGGAAGGATGGGATCGTCGTAAACATCGGCCGAGGCTCCAACATCGACGAGGCCGCCTTAGTCGGTGCACTGAAAGAGGGGAGGATTGCAGGTGCTGGCCTCGAAGTCGTTGAGAATGAACCCAAGGTGCCTGTAGAGCTCTTGTCCATGGACAATGTGGTGCTGACGCCTCGTTCAGCAGTTTACACGATGGAGTCGAGGTCGGACCTGTGTGAGCACCTGATTTGCAACCTCGAAGCTTTCTTTGCCGGGAAGCCACTGATCACGCCCGGTCGTGTTGCAGTGCAGGCTAGTTCAGTCCAGCTATTGGGAGGTAACAATACTTTTACCACGAGCTAGAGGAGTACAGGTATTGAAATTGTTATTTGTATTGCATTGCTGCATAGTTCAGGGTTGTGTTTCTTATAAAATACTAGATCAATTATATTCATTCACTGCAAAAGAGATCGAGTCTCTCATCAGAACTTAAGTTCTGTATGTAAAAAGACCACTGTAATCATCAGGCCAGGGTAAACAACATACTAGTATGTGGTTCACAAATTGCCAACTCTTTTACAGTGAACAGTGTAACACCCGTTAAAACTTGTGTCGATTTTCTTTTTTCATTTTGCTGTACTCCCCTGATCTTGGGCCGTGCAAAATGTAATCATGAGAACATTATAGCATGCTTTGTTCCAAAGGATTTGTATGCAAGACATTATAATCCTTATAATAATCTGGCCTCGTGGGTATTAGATGGTCCAGAAAATTCATTCTCTACCTACCTTTGGATGGCCATGTGTTCCACAACATTTGCACACAGTACTATCAATATTTTAGAGTATATCAGCACAGTGGTCATTGTTTATATGTCTTCTTTGAAGAAATATAAATGTTCGCATTATCTTAAGATAACACTGATCAACAAAAAGGGTGGTACGCTCAACAGGAAATTTGTAGTGAATATGAAACACACAAAACCTTTGAAAAACGAAACATTCAACAGGAATTTTGTCAGAATCCAATGAGACAGGATTTTTTTTATGAGCATAGAAAATTTTATGATTCACCATGCAATGCAAAAGGACAGCGTAAAACCGTGACCCGTCGCGTGCTCTGACCAGGCTTCGTGTCTTCTTCCTCCCCGGCCCTTTTTCCTCCTCATGTCCTCGCTCCCTTCCTTCCCACCCCCGCATCCTCCCCCGCCGCCCCCCGCCAGCAGTTGCTACGTCGTTAGCCACGTCGCCCACCGTCCCCCCGCCCCTCGACCCTGCCCTCTCCTAACCTTGCCGTGACGTGCTGGCGGCGTCTTTGTCCTCGTCCTCGCCCCTACCCCTACCCCAGCACTGGTCGCCGACCGCGCCAGCCTCAACCCGTCCCCGCCCACCCTAATCCCAGGGCAAGGCGACGGCGAGCTCTGCCGCAACGCCTCGCCGCCGTCTCGTTCGCCACCCCTCAACCCGCCTCCATCACAGTGTCACGCCCGCCGCCCCCAAAAGCTCCTTCTAAGCACGCCGAGAACAAAATCCCCTAACCCCGCCACCGCTAGAACCCTAATCGGTGGGACGCCATCGTCGGAGCAGGCGTGGGCGCGGTCTTCTTCCTCGTCTCCAGTGGGGTGCGGTCGCGGGAGGGATAGGGAGAGGAAGAGCGCGAGGGGGGGGAGTGGGTCGCGTTTTGCCATTGCAAAAGTCGGAAGCTCATCGGATGATCCACCGCATGTCACACAGTCAAAGCAGGTCATGTGTCAATACAAGTTGTAAGTTCAAACTAAACCGTGCATGTATAACCACGCCACCGAATGATCCATCGGTCAGGTCTCCCAATCATCTGGTTCATATTTTGAGCTTGTTTTTAAGTCCGATGTAATCTAGTCTAACTTTTTTTAGATCATTTAATTACTTAAAACATATCAATGATGCCAGTTTCTAAGCTTGACTTGTGAGAATGTACTACGTGCATAACCAAACACGCTCTCAAGGTCAAGATATAGTATAGTCTGCCACGAAGACTCGGAAACTAGCCACGATGAAAAACCAGGCAGAAAGTAAAAAACCGAGACAAGCAATCAGATCGGATCGCCGGCGAGCGTGGTCCACGTGACACAGGGATTAAATGAGACGGATGAAGAAAATTAATAGCTTGAATAGGCACAAGGTAGAAGATGACAGACAAATAGCAATGGACCACAGACACTGGAGAAATACTGATGAGTCACCACGACAGCAAACCAGTGGCTGCTCCCTCCGGACAGCGCGGACTGTCGGCTTCCGCATCTCCGTCATGGCATCCTCCGCCGCCGAGCAGCTCCCGGCGCTCCTCCTATTCCGCGTAAGGGAAATCGACTTCCACGCCGCGCTGCGGGAGCGGTACCGCGTCCTGGATTTCTTCACGTCGGGCGAGACCCTCCCGGCGTTCCTGGCCGCCGCGGATGCGGACGCCGACCCGCCCCGCGCGGCGCTCATTGTTGGAGGCGGCACCCGCGCCCGCGTGGACGCCGCGTTCCTCGACGCCGTCCCGTCGCTCCGCTTCGTCTTCAACACGGGCGCCGGGATGGACCACATCGACCTCGCCGAGTGCGCGCGCCGCGGCGTCGCCGTCGCCAACTCCGGCACCGTCTACTCCACCGACGTCGCCGACCACGCCGTCGGCATGCTCCTCGACGTGCTGCGCCGCGTCTCCGCGGCCCAGCGGTTCCCCCGCCGCGGGCTCTCGCCGCTCCTGGGGGACTATCATCCCCTCGGCACCAAGGTGGGCGGCAAGCGTGTCGGCATCATCGGCCTGGGCAACATCGGCATGCTGATCGCGAAGAGGCTCGAAGCCTTCGGCTGTGCCATCTCCTACAACTCCAGAAAACCCAAGGAATCCGTCTCGTACAAGTACTTCGCTACCGTCCACGACCTCGCGTCCGAATCGGACGTGCTCGTCGTGGCGTGCGCGCTGAGCAAGGAGACGCGCCACGTCGTGAACAGGGACGTCCTCGACGCGCTCGGGAAGGACGGGGTCGTCATAAACATCGGCCGAGGACCCATCATCGACGAGGCGGACCTGGTCGCGGCGCTCGGGGAGGAGAGGATCGCCGGAGCTGGGCTCGATGTGTTCGAGAAGGAGCCCAAGGTGCCTGCGGAGCTCTTCTCCTGGACAATGTCGTGCTCACGCCGCACGTTGCGGTCTTCACGACGGAGTCCAGGTCGGACCTCCGTGACGTCGCCATCGGGAACCTTGAAGCCTTCTTCCAGCGTGTTCGCTTGTTATTTCAGCCAGCCTAAACCAGCCAGTCAATAGTGTTTTTCTCTCAAAAAAAATCAGTACCAGCCAGTTCAAATCAATACCAGCACCGACCAGCGAACAGACCTGCCGGTAAGCCGCTGCTTACCCCGGTGGTTCCCAGGTAAGATGCATGCATGGGTCGTATTGTTGAAGGTCGTCGATCCATGTTGGGATACGATTTGACTGTATTTTCTGCTCCATTTTTATGCATGCCTAGAGACGCAAAGGGTTGTGTGCTGTGCGGTCAGGGGTTTGAGAATGTATCTCCTCTGTTTTTATTTTTCTATTATCAACTCTGTTTTTATTTTCTGTGTAATAAATAAAGGTCGTTTGAAGAGAATGCAATTTGTTTCTTAATTCTAAAATATTAGAGCATCTCCACGAGTTTGGTATAATTTACTTGCTAAACTAATCAATTGAGCAAGTTAACAAAAGAAATAGCAACCTTAATTTTTGTTCTTCTCCAACAGTTTCCTATAATAACTTTCTAAAAGTTATAGTAGGACCCACATTTATTTATTTATTTATTGGTTTATTGTGTTGTTCATAAAAAATTAAAAAGAAAATTACATCTACTCTCCGCACCGCACTAACGCGAGCACCGATCCGATCCCAACGATTGGCTCGGCTAGCTGCGTACGGCCAGCACACGTGAAGGCAGCAGGCCATGCCTTCCAACCAAAGATCAATGCAAGCACTGGGCGGGCGGCGTTGACCTGTTGGGTGGCGGCGATGGAGGTAGGTACATACCAGCGGCGGCCGGACCAAAGGGCTACGTGAGAAGTGGCGTGAAAACAGGTCTAAGGAGAGGAGGCAGGGAGTTCTCTCGATTTTGAAAATCTACAAGCTGACGAGGATATTCGATAACTTTTTATTTTTAAGAAGCTCTTTTATCAAACTATTAGAGGAGATTTTTTTTCTTTTTACTAAAATATTAAGATAGAGAGTTGTTTTACCAAAGTCCTTGGACGCTATTAGGCTATGTTTGTTCGAATAAAAACAGAGTGGCATACACTGCTAAGCAAGAGAGCAGAGCGTCGCTGACGCTGAGGACAGGCGCGGATCCAATGGGCTGTCCCGGTATTGCATGGCGTACACTACTAAGCCCAGCCCAACAATAGAGCTACCCTTCTCTGTTATAAAAAATATTTTTTCCAACAATCTACCATATACCCTATAATACACCAGTTAGAATAAATCTACAGCCACACAATAAATATCTGCTCCACAGCCATGACATATGTTACATCCACATCCATGAATGCACCCAGAAAATATAACACCATCAAAACTGATGCACCAGATTATCTCTTAGCCATTCTGTCTCATTACTCATCCAAATCCGACGGCTCATGTTTAATGTGTCTGCCCTCCATCGCTCTCCCGCGGACCTCCCACGCGCATGTGCCTGCAGGTCAGGCTTGCGTTGATTTCGGTTGCCCCCGTCCACGATCATTTGAATCCTAGCCCAACGGCACAGGAAGCGGCGACCGCGAGGGAGACGTCACACTACAGAGGGCACGACAACCACGAGGGGCACGGCACTGGGCGCGGCGGCGCAGATCGCCGCACACGCGCCTCTCCCTCTCCCCCGACGCCCCCTCTCCCGCACGCGCGACTCTCTGTCTTCCCCACGCGACTCCGACTCCTCTCCCCTCCCTGCCCCATCGCGTCGCGCGACTCCCTCCTCCTGCCCCATCGCAGCAGCTGCTCGCTGGCTCACCCTCACGCTGCCGCCGCCGCCCTCTCCTCCCAGCGCTCGCGCCGTCATAGGGATGCTGTACTGGCTGTGGACACCGCTGTACACAGCCGGTGGTTACTCCCGTCGCGGCTATGTTGGTCGCCCTCACGGCGGAGGAGCCCAGGGGGCTCGGGGTGGAGGCAGCCACGACACGGCTGGAGGAATACTACCACCAGATGCGCCTCGCGCTCGCCATCTCCATGCCGGACCACGCGGGGCTCGTCGACACGGACTCCGTCTAGATCCGCGCAGCCGAGCTCATCAGCGTCGGCGCCCACGGAGGACACGACGGCGGGTATAGGAGCGACTGACGAGGTCGCGTCGTCGCAGCCCCCGAAGCTGCCAAGGTACGGATCTCTGGTGCCCCTCCATCACCACATCCGTTTTCGATTATGTCGTGTTCTTGATCCCCTGTCGATCTGCCGGTCGCACGGGACGCGGCAGCACGCGATCCCGACACTGGTGAGCACCTCTCCCCTTCTGGCGCTTTCCTTTTTCCCCCGACCTCGAGCGCCACCTGCGGCCGGCCACCCGGGCAGATTGGGTGCAATTACATGGCACGCATGAGAACCACTCCTCTAGCCTCTATTTCCCTACCAAAATCTAATCGCTCTTCCGGTTTGCGTGCTGCAGTTGCAGGCACTGGGGCTGGGCATCAACACCTCTGTCGTCTCTTCCTATTGCCGCTGAGGTGGAGTGGCTAAATCACAACATACCGCAGCGCATTGCAGCGCCCAACCCCAATTCTAAACTTCGCAAGGCCAAGCCAAAGGTATGTAAACGCTAATCTGGCGGCTCAATAAACTAAACTGTAAACAAAGCAATTCAAGGTCTGTGATGTATCCATTTATTACTTACGTTAAATAATCTATATAATTTAATTAGATTATGTTCGACTGAATTATTTGTTCCAATTTCTTAGATTTCTTAGATTTTGTATTTTTATTTGTCTTGGTGTTTATTTTGTAGAGAACTCATGAAGCGATAGCTACTTCATTAGAAAGGTGAAAACATCCTGACCAGCAAAGTTCTTGTGTCACCAGGTCAAGAGGTAAACCACCGGTGCCTTCTTTTGTTCTTTGTCACACCAACATGATTATACCAGCAAATAATTTACCAGGCATAGAGCAGATGAATATACTATTCTATTTAACTGAAGGTACCTAGAGGATGTAGATACAAGCTTATTCGTTTCGCTCAGCGCTAGCTTGATATTCTAATGATGCTTGAAACAACAATGGAACAGTTGCGAGCAAGGTTAGGATGCAAAATCCTTCGGTTTTGAACTGTATTTCAGGGCTAACTTATTTTTGGCTTGCCAAAAAAAAAATCACAATATAATATGTATTGACATCGACATCATCCATGCTATGTACTTTCTTATGAATAGAATTTTGCTTTATTTAAAGGGAACAATAGACCAATATTGCTTCCTAATTAATTGAGGTCATCGTGGAAAGGGCCAAGATAGGTTGTTTGTTTGAGTTATTTTTTTCTGATGTGTGAAAACTGAAAAGTATGGTTCGTGATCAGTATGGCTTAAGGAGCAAGCCGAGGAAAAATGCCGTTGTTTTGTTTCCAGATCTACAATGTTGAAGTTCTTTGTAACACCCCAGGTGTTGGCCACTAGTTAAGCAATGGGTTTGAGCTCAAAACATGGCATATTAAGTGATGATGAAGATGTCAAGGTCAAACCTATGGAAATGAGCCTCAACCTAAACTTGGATATTGCACCCTTGCTTTACATATAGGCCCTTTTCAAGATATATGCTTGGCTCGTGTTATTGGAATATCTTCATGTGTCTCACATCAATACCCATCTATATTGATCCATGGAAAAGTTTCGTGAAATTTGGAATCAAGAAGTCACATGAAATGACGAGTTATGTCCTTGCTTGAATTATTTTATAAAGTGAATGGAATTCTTGATCGTCAACCAAATCTTGCAACCATGCCCAAATGACTCTAGATGAACTCATGAACAAAAGTTATGAAGGGTTCGTGTTGAGCAGGGATCAAGAAAATGCATCAATCGGTCTAAAACTCAAATTCAAGGTTTACCGCGATGCTACTTTGACCTGTGTTGACCAATCACTTACAGTGCTTGCATGGAGTTACACCTTAAATAAAAGTTGAAGTTTGAGTGGAGTAGAACAAACTTTGTTTTTGGAACAAGAGCCAGATCAACTTGGAACTAAGTCAAACCGAGGCTCAAACTTTGAATCTGCTGCTGTTTTCATAGTCCAAAAATATTAAGTCTGAGTTAACCGAAACCTGAATTTTCAGTTTCATGAGCCCTACTTTGCAGCTCTCTATCATCCAATATAATCCGAGTTAGACCAAAAACCTTTAAGAAAAGTTGTAGTCCTCATATAGCTCTACAACATTTGTTACTATCGTTTGTGCCTAAACTAAACGTATTAGGAGATATGAAAGGACAAAGATGGATGTTCAATCGCATTTTTGAGGTAGAATTGGAGATTTGAATTTGATGAATAGCAATGTCCGACCGTGCACAGGATGCCGCTGCCGCGTGGCCTCGCGCGCTCGCTGCTTGTGCACCACCTCGCTGTCGCGTGTCGTTTGGAGAAGCCGAGCCCGAGCCTGCCCCCTGCTCTCTCCATTCTCTCTCCCTCTCCTTTCCCCATCTGCCGCCGTCACCCTGCTCCTCTCCTCCTCATTCCTCCAGCTGCTCTGCCCGCCGCTGCTGGCCACAGCAGAGCCGCAGCCGGCCACCGCGCCATCTCCTCGCCGCGGTGCGCTCGCCCTCTCCCATTCGCCTAACTTGGCTTCCACTGCACTGCCCTCATTCGCTTCTTCCTAGTAGATGACCAAAGGAGACCTCCAAGTCCAAGATGATTCTGCTCTCCTGTTACTTGTTCAACTCCGGCGCTGCACTGGTGATCTCCTTCCCTGCTGTTGCCGGTGTTCTGCTCTGGAGGAGCGTTCTTATCACGACTGAGCGGCCGCAGCCAAGTCTTGTCGACCCCTCCCCGCCGCTACAGGCTCTCGCGGCCGAGCCTGGCCAGCCCATGCTGTGCTCTGCTCCTTTCCTGTGTTGAAGAGAAGGTGAAGGACCGCGGGCCAGAATTAGAAGAAGTGGGAGGATCTAACTGCGAAGCCATGACTCATTTGAATAGTACTCCTGAGGACCTCTTCGCTGATGTTTGAGTTCTATTTTCCGCAGGGACCCCGATGCAAGATTTACATTGATTTTCCTTGATTTTGGCAGATTTGAATGATGAACTTTGAAAATTCATAGTAATTATTATAAAAATTATAAAATAGTAAATGATTACTTTTTGAAATCCTTGTGAAATTATCTATGCAGTAGATCTATAAGACGGCATGTTTTAGTTTAAATATTTTGCTGTAAAAATAGATCTACGCAGTTAGGTTCTTAATACTAGTTATGTCTTGTCTTTTTTATAACTGAAGTGGTGGTGCTCAAATAAATGTGAAATTTTTATGGAGTGTTACTCTGGTGATGTTTGATGTCTGATAAAAATTTCAGGAGTTTAGGATTGATGGTTTAAGAGTTATAAAAATAACAAATTCCTTGTGTTGCCTTGCTCCTATTCTGAGTAGTCCTGCATGTTTGAATTAATTGGCTCAGTTAAGTTATGAATCATGACTTGATGAAAATACATGAGTTGTAGTACTTTTTTAAGCTTTCCAAAAAGTTAAATATCATGATTCTTGGCTAAGTAGATCTTGAGTTATACGTGCTTAAATCTCTGTGGCTGTTTCTGCCCAAACCCAGACAGGGTTTCCTTGTTCTTACTGTGGGACCTTCTTAATAGTATAATTAGCTTTAGGTGTTTACAACAAAGTTGTTTAGAATTTGCTAAGCTTTCTAAAAAGTCTAGAATCACATTTATAGTACATGTATAACTCCATTTATAGCTGTTTAAAGTGGCATGTCAGTTTCTGTCTATGTTTTGGACAGAGATACAATTATTGGATTAGTTGACTCTTCTAACTGTAAAATCATCTTAATATGAGAATAACAAAGTTGTAGATAATTCATGTATCTAGCTTCTGTTAAAATTTGGTGGTATTTGTCCTTATGGTTTGTGAGTTATGCCTGTTTAAAGTTGGGTTTCAGAAATGACTGTTTTCTGTCAATTGTGGACCAGTTTCTGTAAATGGGTATATTTGACTTAGTTAACTTGAGAATCATGCTAAGATGATTAAAGATGAATTGTAGAAAATTTCATAAGATTTCCAGATTGTCTTGTTGCATGTCTTTTGAATTAGTACAACTCCTGTTATGAGTAAAATTAGCTGTTGCTGTTTGCAGCCTTGACTCTATGATTGTCGTGAATAACTGGTTTGTCTTGAATGCTTATGTGATGCATCTTGTGTTACCATTCATCACATTCATACACATGCATCTTGCATCTCATCTAGGTGCGCTAGATGAACCACGTGAAGAACGTGATGTTGGAGCCGAACCCGACGACGGTGTATGGAGGATCTATCCCGAAGATAGAAGGACTAAGCGAGTGCTAGGACCTGAGACGTCACCAGGACGGTGCAAGCTAACTGAACTGACTTGTGTCGTATCCCAGGCAAGCCCTGGAGCATTATAAGTCTCCTAATTTATAAAAACAATTCTTTCTATATATATGAGTTTATATATTGTTGCATTAAGTTATAGGAGTTGATTGAAACCGTTGATGCATTTATTACTATCCTTGCCTACCTTATTACCTTTTACCCTGTTAGGTCAGGATCGAATAACTGCTTAGCCTTGCTTAGACCGGTAGCGATCGGTGATATCCGGTCACCTACATTATAGGTGGTTACTGGAAGAATTTAGTTATGGAAAGAATAATATCCTGGAATTAACCATGTGTGATGGATAATTGGAGACCATACGGAAAAGTTGGAGGCAACCAGACAGGGTTCTGGGTGCTGTTAGTTTCCGTCTGTGTCGATTAAGGACCGATCGTTGCTCGTCCCTCTTGTCATGTTGAACGCATGCCTTACATTTAGCTGGCCGAATAAAGCACCTTTCGACCGCGAAGTTGGAAGATTATTTGGGCCTAGTAGATTGCTCGCAGCGCACTGTATCAGAGCAGGTGTGGTAGGACACGGGGGCGCGATGATAAGACCGAAAGGCAGTCGGTCGGCCCCCGGGTACATGTGGTTCCTGGCAAACTCAAGATTTTTCCTGGATAGTTGACTCGGTGACCGATACCTCACTTTAGCGGGTGAGTGAGGTTTGTGTAAGGAATAAATCACCAGCTGGTTAGGAATCGATTCGAATCGTCATCGCTCCTAGATAGTGAGCACTTGACTCGAGCTACGGCATCGTAGTAATTATTATGGAACAATGATGGTTATTTGGATGGTATGGGATATGCTAAATCTAAATTGGTAACTGGATGTTATTGGTTAATCAAGTGATTGCTATAGTACAGATGCTTACTCAGATGGATAGGTTATAATAAAGATGATGCATACTTAAAATGGTTTCTTCATGATAGCTTATGCTTTTCGCAAACAAGTCAGCTAGCCAACTAAAGAAAGCCTTGCATAATCCTTGGTGTCACTTTATTTCTGGTTTACGACGGGTAAGTCTGGCTGAGTACATTCGAGTACTCAGGGTTTATCCCACCTTGTTGCAGGTGAAGTTCTCGACCTGTTGATGATGGTGGCTAACCGCCGGTGGGCTCGGTGATTCTATATTTTGTCTGAGGATGTCACTTATGCTAGCAATGTATTTGGAACTTATATTAATGTAATCATTTGAAAGTTATGTTGTTTTCAATAATTGGTTTTGAAACCCAAACTTGTACTATTATTTGTGAACCCATCTGTAACATTATTTCTGCTGCAACTCTGCGTATGTGATGTGTATTTGCTTAATCACGCGATCTTGGTTGTGATGTTGATTTACCGAGGTCTTTCGAGACACTCGGCGGACTACCGGGTTTATATAAGTGAAAGTATGAGCGTGTCAACGTGTTAGCGGGGACAGCCATACTTGATCTTGTATA